TGCCTTAATAAACACTAGCCAAGGTAAGTCCATGCTGCTCTATTAAGCGCTGGGTCTCTTGTGAAAGAGAATCAGGAATAGAGCTTAAATAAGCCTGCTTAATATTTGGATCATCGGGACCACCAATTTCATAAAACCGAAGGGAGGCCCGTTGAAAGTGGGTCTGTAAATCCTTGCGGTCAAAAGAGCAACATTTGAGTTTAAAAAACTCTTCGCGTAATTGATCAATACCAGGCAGTTTTTAAGGCGGTTACTGGTTTCCAGCCGATATACCCTATAGTCACCTCAGACGAGGGTGAACAGTACTGCTACAGTGGCGTCTGCTAAGGCGGGTTGGTGAGCCGCGGCCTCTCCTAGATTCTGAAAAGGAGGCCAGCTCCATAAAAACACCCGTAACCCTTAAAAAGGCGCTATTGTAACAGTGCAGGCCAGAAGACATATAGAGCACAGAACGCCGCATCCAGGATCACAAAAATACTTCAGAGTTAATAGACAACCGCGGCAGAGCCGAACTGAGTGTCTATTAAGACAAGAGACTTCTGTGATGGAGGAGGGCTTTCGGCCAGAGAAATCTTTAACAGAACTAATGCATTAAGAGAGTTAGAGAGAGAGAGAGACATTGTAGAGAGAATGAGTTTTTATTTTTCTGCTTCTGCCTTGTACAAGAAGGGGAGGCCTCTTTTATAGGAGAAGAGGCACTTGTAACAAGCATTTTAAACCACACACGTATTACATGGGGATTACAAATATATAAACAAGTGGAAGGTCAGGATCTGACCGACATAAAAGTAAAATACAAGTGGCAAGCGATTAAAATAAAAGGCCAACGCCACGTACCTCCGTCACCGCCGCCGCATATTTGGTATCAGAGCCAAATGCCATGAAACCTATGAATAATTGTAGGTAAAGTGAGGATACTGCTCTCCTGTCACTTATATATGTTGTTATTTTGTTTTGGAAATTTCTTGTCAAACGGACTGTGTGTCCAAGGCGGCTGGTATTTAAGATGGCCATGGTGCCGCACCAGACTACTTGGAGAATTTTCCAAAATCTTAATGACTCTGTATCTGTGATATGGAGACGTTACAGTCTCTCACTTTCTTGTGCCCACGCCACAAGTTAATGTGGTCCAGTAATCTTCATGCTCTGTGATACGTGCTTATCTATTCTTCTTTGCCAGAGAATATTTTTCAGAACTAATGCATGTTCCTATCCACCATGAATAAGCTTACAAAACCCAGTCTTTCCCGCACTTCTTCATTTTCTAGTCCTCGCTCTTCTTCTGCTAGTTCTTCTTCAGCTCTTGTACATACAGACACTCAATTCGGCTCTCATACCAAATATGCGGCGGCGGTGACGGGGGTACGTGGCGTTGTTAAACCAGAGGTTGCCAAGTACTGCCAGGCAGTTTTTAAGGCGGTTACTGGTTTCCAGCCGATATACCCTATAGTCACCTCAGACGGGGGTGAACAGTACTGCTACAGTGGCGTCCGCCAAGGCGGGTTGGTGAGCCGCGGCCTCTCCTAGATTCTGAAAAGGAGGCCAGCTCCATAAAAACACCCGTAACCCTTAAAAAGGCGCTATCGTAACAGTGCAGGCCAGAAGACATATAGAGCACAGAACGCCGCATCCAGGATCACAAAAATACTCCAGAGTTAATAGACTGGTTTCTGTATTCCCAATCTCCATTATCAATGGACTGTCCTTCCTTTCGGACTCAAAACAGCTCCCTCCATTTTTCAGAAAGCCATGATCCGCATTTTCCAGCCCATACTAAAGCAAGCCCTTATCTACATTGATGATATCTTGCTTTATTCCCCAGATCATTCAAGTCATATGGCTCTCCTCCACCAGTTTTACACTCTCTTGAAAAAATATGGGGTCATGCTCTCTGCAAAAAAAATGGTTCTCCAAACCACAGCCACTGATTTCCTTGGGATGCACATTGAGAATGGTCAATATCAACTCCAACCCCATATTGGCCATTCTCACATTCCTCACCAACAACCCGACAACTTTCCTGAATATCTGTTCCATACCTTCCTGGAATGGTTCCACCCACTTTCCTATTGGAAAACCCTTTTCCAACAAAAACAAGCCCTATGCACCAAGATCCACCTTCCCACCTCTCATATAATCTTCACTTTTCAACGAGTACCATACATGACCACTGAACTCATTCATATTGGCACTCTACAGGAGTATGGCCTCCATACATTCTCCCTCCATTCGGACTGGTCTTTCCATCTTCCCCAACTTAAACACTTTCAAACCCGAATGTGTCACATAAACAAATACATCCCTCCATCTCTTTGGCCCAGACACGATCCCACAGAACCACCCTGGGATACCCTTCCACATGATTATTGTCAAACCCTAATCCAAGCTGTTCATCAACATGCAGAGTCCCGAGCAGGTTCCTCCTCCAGTGTCAGACCCAAAGTTAAAGACACAGTTCCTGTACACCAATTCACCCAGCTCATCAATCACAGTCCACCCCAAACACTTTACCCTTTGAATTACAATCCGAACCTTGCTGTTACCATCCCTGATATTCAAACTGGTGATCCTGATCTCGATACTGTTCTTAACAACCCTACTTATCTGCAGGCCCAAGTTCAAGCAGCCTAAGACTCTCAAGACCCATATTCACCTGACCCTCTTTGGTGGAAGACTCTTGGGTATTCCCACAACCCAATGGACTCTGAAGAAGACCCAGACAGAACGGACACATCATCCTCTGAATGACGCATGCCCTGACGCCATCATCACTCTCTCAGATGTATCCGCGTGGACACTCTCTTGTGTCGGCAAAATCTTAGCCTTTTATTTTAATCGCTTGCCACTTGTATTTTACTTTTATGTCGGTCAGATCCTGACCTTCCACTTGTTTATATATTTGTAATCCCCATGTAATACGTGTGTGGTTTAAAATGCTTGTTACAAGTGCCTCTTCTCCTATAAAAGAGGCCTCCCCTTCTTGTACAAGGCAGAAGCAGAAAAATAAAAACTCCTTCTCTCTACAATGTCTCTCTCTCTCTAACTCTCTTAATGTATTAGTTCTGTTAAAGATTTCTCTGGCCGGAAGCCCTCCTCCATCACAGAAGTCTCTTGTCTTAATAGACACTCAGTTCGGCTCTGCCGCGGTTGTCTATTAACTCTGGAGTATTTTTCTGATCCTGGATGCGGCGTTCTGTGCTCTATATGTCTTCTGGCTTGCACTGTTACGATAGCGCCTTTTTAAGGGTTACGGGTGTTTTTATGGAGCTGGCCTCCTTTTCAGAATCTAGGAGAGGCCGCGGCTCACCAACCCGCCTTGGCGGACGCCACTGTAGCAGTACTGTTCACCCCCGTCTGAGGTGACTATAGGGTATATCGGCTGGAAACCAGTAACCACCTTAAAAACTGCCTGGCAGTACTTGGTGACCTCTGGTTTAACAACGCCACGTACCCCCGTCACCGCCGCCGCATATTTGGTATCAATTTGCATATCCAACTTGAATTGGTCCAATTCATCAGGATTACTCCCTGTCACCAACAAGTCATCAACGTATAAAGAAACCACAGCCACTCCCTTTTCAGTTTTCCTAATATAGAGAGTGTGTTCATTAGGACTTCTAATGTATCCAAGGCTGCATAAATGGTCATTTATTCGGCTGTACCAGGCTGTAGGTGCATGCTTCAAGCCATATAATGCCTTCCTCAGTAGGTACACATGGTCCTCCTTTCCCTCAACCTTGTAGCCTTCGGGTTGCTCTACATACAGCTCCTCTGAAATCCATCCATTTAGGAATGTAGACTTGACATCCAGCTGGAAAATTTTCCAGTTGAACTGAGCTGCAAGAGCCAACAACAACCTGATTGTGTCTTGCCTAGCAACCGGGGCAAAGGTTTCTGAAAAATCAATGCCTGGTTGCTGTGCAAAACCCTTCACCACTAGCCTTGGTTTATGCTTGTAGATTGAGCCATCGGGTTGATTTTCAGTTTGAAAATCCATTTAATCTGAATGACTTTTCTTTTTTCAGGTCTTGGTACCAGTTTCCAGGTTTGATTTTTATTGATCATGCTCAATTCTTCCTGCATTGCAGCCCTCCATAACTCAGATTTTGCAGCATCAAAATAGCATCTTGGCTCCACCACTGCCGTATTGCACCTTTCATACACATCAGCCAAGTTCTAGTTCCTCTCACAGTATGATCTTCTTCCTCATCTGAATCTGCCTCTTGAATCAGTCCCTCTCTTCTCTCATTCTGACTTGATTCAACCTGCACATCAACCCTTTGTTCTTCCCAATTCCAGACTCCACATTCATCAACCTTAATGTCCCTTGTGATTACAATCCTTTTAGACTCAGGAACATAAACTCTATAGGCTTTAGAGTTGCTGCTATAGCCTATAAATATCCCAATTTCTGCCTTGTCATCCAACTTAGACCTTTTGCTGGCTGGGATCATTACATAGGCTATACTTCCAAATTCTTTCAGGTTCCCTACTGTTGGCTTGATTCCAGTCCATGCCTCAATTGGTGTTTGATGTTTGACAGCCTTGGTGGGCAGCCTATTCAGCAGGAAAACTGCTGTATTGACAGCTTCTGCCCAGAACACTTTAGGGAGGCTTTTTCCAGTCATCATACACTTGGCCATTTCCATAATGGTTTGGTTTCTTCTCTCACAAACACCATTCTGTTGAGGGGTATATGGTGTTGTGAACTGTTGTTGTATTCCAGCTAGGCTGCAGATTGTCTTGAACTCATCTGAGGTGTACTCAGTTCCATTGTCTGCCCTTACTGCTTTGATCAAGGTTCTAGCTTCATTCTCCACCAGCAACTTGAATTGTTTGAACACAGCAGCCACTTCATTTTTCTGCTTCAAGAAATAAACCCAAGCCACCCTTGAAAAATCATCAATGAAGAGTACAAAGTACCTGCTGCCATCTAAAGATTCTGTCTTCATTGGGCCACACACATCCGAGTGGATCAATTGCAACTTGTGACTTGCTCTCTAGGCTTGATCTGAAGGGAATGGTGGCCTGCTAAGTTTGCCAAGTTGGCAGGCTGTGCACAAAGTCCTTTTCTCTTCTATTTCGGGCAGGTCTAATACCATGTCCCTTGACTTGAGTTCTTTGATTCCAAGATAATGAAAATGTCCAAGTCTTCTATGCCATAACTCAGACTCTTCAACCTTGGTAATTAATGCTGAGTTTTCTGGTTTTTTCCAGTCTAGTGGAAAGCTTTTGCCAAGCATCCTTACACTCAATAGCTCCTTTCCTTCTCTATCCTTTATAATGCAAGAATTGTTTTGGAAATGCAAGGTAAAATTTTTCTCTAACATTTGACCTACACTTAACAAGTTTTGTGCAATTTCAGGTACAAACAAAACATTAGAAATAACCTTAGTTCCTGCCTTAGTTTGGACTGCCACATCTCCAATCCCTCTTGCTTCTACATAGTCACCATTTCCAATCTTAACCTTGGAGCTGTATGTCCTGTCCAACCTGACAAAGTTCTCCACATTTGCTGCCATGTGGTTAGTGCATCCGCTGTATATCAGCCAAACATCTCCACAGGTCTGCATTGAGTAGCATGAAGCTACAAACAGCTGTTCTGATTCATTGGTCTGCTGCTGTTCATTTGCACTTTGTGCTTGCTGTGGTGGCTGTGCAGCCTTGTTCCTGCACACCTTCTCAATGTGGCTGAATTGTTTGCATCCCCTGCATTGAATCCCAAGCCTGAACCAGCACTTGCTGTCCGGATGTCCCTTCTTTTTGTAGTGGGAACATGGTGGATAACTTCTTCCTCCACTCTGTTTTCCCCACTGTCCACCAGCTCTCTCTTTTCCTCTCTTATCCCCAGCATATCTTCTATTACTTCCCTGCGTATTCACTCCTTTGAGCAGCCAACATAGCACCTTCATTTGAGTCCTCCTGCCTCATCAACCTTCTTTGTTCTTGGGCCTGCAGGGCATGAACCAATTCAGTGAGGCTGATTTGGGAAAGATCTTTTGAATCTTCTAAGGAAGATATCTTGGACTCAAATCTTTTTGGAAGGCTGACTAACACCTTTTCAACTATCATCTTGTCACTCATCTCAACTCCCAACAATCTGATTTTGTTCACCACACTCATGAGTCTATCTACATACTCTTTAACCTTCTCTACCTCCTGCATTCTCAGCATTTCAAACTCCCTGCGCAGATTCATGACTTGCATGTTACGGGTTGTATCACTTCCCATGAATTCTTCTCTTAGTCTATCCCAAGCCTCCTTTGCAGTTTCACACGCCATTATCCTTGTAAATACAAGGTCTGTTACTGCCGAATGTATATGAGAGAGAGCTCTTGGAGCTTTGGACATTTCCTCTTCGTACATTCTCATTTGGTTCAAGGTTGGGTTTGGACCAAGTTGGGGTGGCTGTTTCTCCTCTTCCACATACTGCCACAGCCCTTGTCCTCTCAGGTAGGCTCTCATTCTAACAGCCCAAATGTGATACTGGTCCCCGTTGAACACTGGAGGTGAGAGAGACGCAGATTGGGAAGCCATGCGTGAACTGGTTGCCGTTTTGAAAAGCTTTCGTTTTTCTTGCGTAAGAGTGAAGTTTGATGGTGATTTGGGGTGAGTTTTTTTTTAGTGATCTTTTAGACGTTAGTTGGTTGATGAAGCTCTGATACCATGTTCGTTTTTTAGAAGCTGGTCATTCAAAGAAAGAAGAGAGATGAAACGTAAAAGCTGGACATAATTTTCATTAGACAAAACCTGCATATAACATACTTCAACAACTGTTTCAACAACCAGCCGAAACTTTTCCTTAATCTAAGCTAAGCCACACAAAAGGCTAACAACTTCATTACAAAAGTTGAGTCATTAAACAAAGGATTAACATTAAACTACAATATATTTTAAGTTACTAAGAAGAGAAGCACTCCCATGCAGTCCATGCAGAGTAGAAACTCTTCCAGGTTTCACATGCATTAGTCAATCTACTTCCAGCACAGCATCAACCTTCAACAGTTTCTGATATAGAGGAGATTAACCAGCTGAACAAGAATTGATCAATTTTCTTCCACATTACATGTTCAGAATCGATTAATCTTTTAGATTCATCGGTTGAGGACAGAATAGGGGCAGAAGGACAAGGTTTTTCACTTGTAACGAAACTTTCCAATTCGTAAGCTTTCAAGACTGGAAACACTTGAGACTTCCAGTAGGCATAATTCCTTTCACCTAGTTTTACAGTAATGGTAGGTAGTGTGTTGTTCAGAGTTGAAGATGAAAATGAATTTGTCATTTTCTCAGCTGAGGCAAAGCCTGAAGGAGAAGGTGTTTTTGGATCTGCCATTGACGTCTGTCAATAGCTCTATACCATGAAAAGGTTCACACAGTAGAGAGAGAAACCAAGAGAAAATGAAAACAAGGAATTCTAATTTTTATTCTTACTTCAGTACCAAAATTCTTTCGAAATTTATACAAATATTCATGTTCATCTCATCCGTTGATTATGAATTTAACAAACACAACTATATCAAATCTTGTCCATTCGATCTGCAACTTGCGTTTCTCTGCAACTTGTAGTGCAACCTGCATGCATTAGAGAGGGCGAAAAGCATGTGTAAACATTGGCGCAAAATTCTGTTTTTCTTGAGTTGTTCCGCTTTGAACCAGAACGACATGAAGTCTTACCTGTAATTTACAACTCTGTTCTTGCTCTAACAGCCAATGAAAACGAAGGTTAATACTAACACAATGGCGAGATTTCATACATTAAAAACAATTTCTCTTAATTGTATTGGTTATTTTTTGGTATTTTATTTATCATCATATGGGTTATTTAGTAAGTAAACAAGATGATAGTCAAATTACAACACCTCATCGTTTTGGTTTTGCCATATACAAAAGACTCCATGACGATAACATATTTTTCACAAGGACTAATTTTCATGGCCACCTCAAGCCTAAACGTGGCTCTGTCGATGTGGATCTATTAGCAGTACCTCACTGATGGACTAAAGAAGTCCCACTTTTTAATAAATTTTATAATGACAGATTTATCCTTATATTAAATTATTAAAATTAACTTTAGTTTCCTAATCTTTACAAGTAGTTTTGATACTTACAATTATCTCATAAGCCCTAATTTTTCTTCATCCTATTCAAATTATTCTTAAGACGATAAAATAGTTTAATGGCAGAACAAGATTCGCAATGGGATATAGTAGGTTACAAGCAATACAAAATTGAAAGTTTAAATTGCTTCACATTGTTATTGTTTTTATCAAAGTATTAGTACCTATTTTAATCTATATATTTTTTGTGTTGTTTAACTGTATTATGTTCTTGAGATTTATTTTAAGAATAACGATGATGAGGTGTATATATATTAACTCTTTTAAAATACGATAAAAAGTAATGAAAGGCATTAATGGAATTTATGGGTTGCTATAAGAAAAAAAAATTAATTTTAAAACTTTGAAATTAGATGTCTTAAGAAATAAGCTTCTTTAGTCTATTATTGGGGTGTCAATAGCCCCACTCTTGTTTTAATTCACTTTGAACTTTTTGCTTAAAAGCCATTATGTTTCCAAGCCCACAGAGGGTGGATAGTCCAATAACAAGAATATAGGAAATGTTTTTTGGTTATTATAAAAATGAAAGATAGCAAAGGAAAAAAAAAAGATCTGTAAATGCAATCTTTAGTTATTGATTTATAATCTTTACTTTGAATTGATTGTTAATTTGAAAATTTGAATGCTTGTATTTCCAAACCAAAATAATAACCATTTTAAGGTGAATATCTAATGTGTTAGAGTTGGTTAACTCACTTTGGTGTTAGATTACCATTTTAAGTGCAACAAAATATTTTTACCAAGTAGATTAGGAGATTTCACATTTCAACATTTTATCCACAAGACAATATTCAAAGTTGATCTACGATACAGTAAAAAGAACTCCCTGTTCAACTTTACACTTAGCACCGCACTCTGAATCCTTAACGAGTTGAAACTCCTTGGACCTTCTTCACACTAGGAACACACCGAGAATAGCTTGTGAACCACCAAGCTTCAAGCACCGACCCCAAGCACCAGCATCAACAAATGAACCATGTTCCAATAGCCATCGAGACAATGAATTATATGGTGAGGTTTGGAACAAAATGAAATTAACCTATGAACCTTTGAAGAGAAAAATATACTCTATGAAATTTTAGAGTACAAAGAAGAATAAAAGATCAGATGGTTAGATTCAAACACGCAAGAAGAGATATTATATAATGTAGGGTTTCTTGCTCAACACATTTGCACCACGTCAGCCAACAAAGAGCTGACCCATGTTTTTCCAAAAAAGGAAACTATTCCTTCTTTGATTGGACCACAAAACAAATCAGGAAAAGCATCTTTATTTCCTATGACCACTTAAGGATAATATGACACATGTAAAAGGTCCTAAAAAGGTAGCAACAAAGATAAACAAATATCTTTTCTACTTTATCAGATATGCAACTCGTGTTGGATTGCAAATATTTGAAGCGAGTGTGCAAACACAAAACTATTGTGCACAGACACTCGATACGAAACAAGTCAAGACATAAGTCTGGCAACCAGTGTGCACACAAAACTGTTGTGCACACACAAGACATAAGAAACAAGCCAAATCATAAGATTGGCAACCAGTGTGCACACATAACTATTGTGTACACTCACAAGTCATAAGTTTGACAAACATGAATATTCTACATTATCCCCTTTGTCAAACTTATGAACAAAGAACATAAACTGAAAAGAGATCAAGAGCAAACCTGTCTCAATCAAAACAATCAAACCTGCAAAATGGCAAGAAACAAACATACAAAGAAAATGAACCAAAAGCAACACAAACACAAGCACAAGGCAATATAAAAAAAAAAAATCTAAAATCAAATAAAAAACATCATAAAAGAAATAACTCCCTCATGGAGAGATAACAGTAGATCAGTTCAACAATAAACAAAAACAATTAAAAGTTTATCAAAGAAATAACTACAAAGTCTAAAGTCTAAAAATCACTCCCCCACACTCCATACTTACTCCCCCTCTTTGTTCATAAGTTTTGATGATTTTTGTGAGGAACAAATGAGCGATGAGCTTTCCTTTTGACTATTTTCTTGGGAGGAGTAGTGATGATGACATGTGTGTCCTCCATTTGAACATCAAAGGCAATAGTAGATGTGGGCTCAATAGCATCATGAAAGGATTCCTCTTGGACAAAAGGGGTGTTCTCTTTGACAGAAGGACGAACAACTTCTTCGGTGTGCACATGAGAGGCATCTTATTCTTTTGAGTGTTGTTTAGTTTCATGTGTAGTTGTATCTTCGGGTTGATCATTGCCTTCATGAGCAGCTTCTTCTTCTTGAACGACAACAACAAGAATAGCAGCAGATACATTAGGGACAACAATAAGAACTTTAGGAACTACAGCATAATCAATCTGAACAACAGAGACAAAAATTTTCTTCACTTTCTTCATTTCATTCTCTAGTTTGTCCAGCCTATCATTGAAGGAGAAGTGCAATTCCTTCACATATTGAAGAACATTCTCCATAGACATCTCCAAGTCCTACATTGCAACAAATAACTTAGACTGCCAAGTGTTAGTGCGTACATGTTTAACAGTAGAAGAAGATGGGATCTTCCCAGATGGCGGCTTAAAAAAATACTTGGTGACAGTCTTTAGTTTTAGCATAGGCTCCACTTCATAGAATTTTGGTTTGTAAGTAGTAATAATCCTATGAATAAAGGAAGGGAAAGGCAAAATCTGAAGGGCATGTGTGGACTGTGTAGCCACCCTAATGCTAGTGAAAATGAGTGAAGCCAAATTGATTTTCTCTCTTAGCTATCCTGTAAAGAAGTTGAGCTCTTTTAAGCCTAACCATGGAGACCAATTGGTTAGGGAAATTTTGAACAACAGGCGATAAAAGGGTGTGAGAGCACTAGGTTGGAGAGAACACTTCTCAACCATATTGCAATTAAGCCACCAGTCACAACCTTAACAATTTTGTCTAAGTCCAGACTAGCCAACCTAAAGGGTTTGTTGACTTTTTTCAAAACCTAAGGCATCCCTAACAACCTGTTCATTAAAGAGAACCTAAAGACCCCTGACATACACTCTATCATTGTGTTCATCAGAGCTAGGGTTAGCATCATCAAAGCCAAAATTGGCATAAAACTCTTACACAAGAGTTTGAATTGGTGCAGTCAAACGTGAGACCATATTAACCCATTTGACACTTCTTCATCATAGCATGATTTTTTTTTTTTTTTTTTAAATCCTCTAACCTGACATTGGCCTCACTCACAATTGTCTTCTTGACAATGTGGTTTCTAAACCTACTCTCGGTTGCAGGCAACATAAAAAGTGGGATTTTACTAGTTGGAGCTTCTTTCATGATTGTCTTCCCTTTATTTTTCGCCATCTTTGCCGATGCCAAAGGCTTTGATGGAATAGCCTTCACAAGACAACCTTGTGGGATTTGAGGGAAGCAATAGGACTGTTGTCTGATGCACTGTCGG